AGATTCCACCACCTCCCTAGGTAACCCATTCACCACCCTCCTAGTGAAATAGTTTTTCCTAATATCCAACCTAGACCTGCCCCACTGCAACTTGAGACCATTGCTCCTTGTTCTGTCATCTGCCACCACTGAGAACAGCCTAGCTCCATCCTCTTTGGAACCCCTCCCGCTTCAGGTACTTGAAGGCTGCTATCAAATCCCCCCTCACACTTCTCTTCTGCAGACTAAATAAGTCCAATTCCCTCAGCCTCTCCTCGTAAGTCATGTGCCCCACCCCCTTAATCATTTTTGTTGCCCTCCGCTGGACTCTCTCCAATTTGTCCACCTCCTTTCATTAGTGGGGGGACCAAAACTGGACGCAATACGCCAGATGTGGCTTCACAAGTGCCGAACAGAGGGGAATAATCACTTCCTTCGATCTGCTGGCAACGCTCCTACTAATGCAGCCCAATATGCCATTAGCCTTCTTGGCAACAAGGGCACACTGCTGACTCGTATCCAGCTTCTCATCCACTGTAATCCCCAGGTCCTTTTCTGCACAACTGCTGCTTAGCCAGTTGGTCCTCAATCTGTAGCGGTGCATGGGATTCTTCCGTCCTAAGTGCAGGATTCTGCGCTTGTCCTTGTTGAACCTCATCAGATTTCTTTACGGTCAGTCCGTAACTCTGGTGTTTGTATCTTTGAGGTTCTACTGCATAAGTATTCTTATGACACAGAAAAAGGAAGAGAACTACCTACTCCATTCAAGGCCAAAGGCAGTCGAGAAGGGACTGAGGGCAATTCACCTGCACAGCACTAGATAGCCTCGAGGCAAACCATGAGGGAGGGCGCATGCGCAAGCCAAACGGACGCTGCTACCTAAAATCTCCAATTAGAGGAGCAGGGGCACAGATGCACCTACAGTGGAACATCCATACAGACACTACATGAAGAACAAGAACTTAGCAGAAAGAGGACCCAGCCCTTCTGTCCACATGAGAAACCAGTACCATTTTATTTGGGAGAGATGAG